ACCAAGATCACGACAAGATGACGGTAACATTTCTTTTTCAGTGGAGCTACCACCAATATTTTATTTTAAGGGAAAACATTGGAAAACCCTTTAAAAGATAATCTTTAAAATTAAAGTTGGATTCGGGAGTCAATTACGTGTGAAGGTATTAGCATCCTACAACACCTGTAAAAATAGTACCTTTAATTAATTGCGCAAAATTATATAAATTTATAAATATTTAATTTACTCCTCAAAAATGTATGTGAGATGCTTCTTTTTTTGTATTTTCATTAGAAAATTAGAGGGATTTAGGTTAGCAAATGACTAATCAATAAATCCTTCCAATAACATGAAAGATAGAATTTCTATTCAATCAATGTTGTTGATTTTTATTCTGTTAAATTTTATGATTTACATGATGATAAAGGGTAGAAGTGCTACTCAATTAATATCATTAACCATAAAAATAAGTATACATGAATATTTTTATCTAAAGAAATAGATTTTGCATAAGGATTAACAAATGACTAATCAATAAGTCCCTCCAATAACGTTAAAAATAGAGGTGATACTTAATTAACATTATTGGTTGCAACATCTTTATTCTTTAAAAATAAATTTTGTAGAGGAGAGTTTAAGCTAGCAAATGACTAGTCATTAAACCCCTAGAACCAAATAATGTTAAAGATAAAATGTTATTCAATTAACATTATTATTTGTCGTATATTAAATACTTTTTAAACAATTATTTTAAAGACAACAAATCATATTCACTATGTACATACAATTATTAAATAAAAAATAAAAAATGAATATAAATAAATAAAAAAGAAAGAAAAAGAAATGATACCAAATGAGAGACTTTAACTTGCTGAATCTTCAAATATGATGATCTATTAGGCACTTTTTGGCGACCTAACACACTACAATGTTCCTCACAAAATCTCAAGAAATACAGAAGAGAGAGAAAGAGAAATTTCGAGCTCTAAGGAGTCTTGGACGAAATTTTTTGCCCTGAAAACTGTCCGAGTCGTGTATTAATAAATGTCAGAAGTTGCCAGAATGGCCCGTTCTAAAATCAGAACAGACCGTTCTGGATATGACTGTTTTGTGTTAATTTAGTACTTGGAACGGCCCGTTCTTAAAATAGAACAGCCCGTTCAAGATATGAGTTTAACACATAACTAGCTACCTTGGAACGCCCGTTCCAAACAGAGGTTTTTAGGCCTTTTTAATACCTTAGAAAGGCCCGTTCCAGATTAAGAACGGCTGTTCTAGTCTTAGGTTTTAGCCCTTTTTTAGGAGCTTGGAACGACCCATTCCAATTTAGGAACGACCTATTCCGAACTAGGAATTTAGGCTCTGTTTAGGAACTCGGAACGGCCCGTTCCAAATTTGGAACGACCCATTCCGGTTTTGCAACAGTTTGTTCCTGGCTCATAAAACCCGCTTGTTTGGGCTTCAAGCTTCCTTGTTGTCATATGGTATTGACTCCATACTTTGGGAGCTCTTCTTCTTCATAGTAGACGTCTATTTCATTGTTGTTGTGGATCTGGATAAAATTGGTTATTCACAGTTGCCCTTCTTTATTTATTTCTCATTAAATTATCTAAATAAGGTAATTTAGATCATTTGTGATAAGAAATGAATAAAGATGTGAATTAATTTTATCCAGCTACCCAATACATAGCTCTTATTGTTGGTGGAGTAAGTTCTTGAAAGATTCGATGCTTTTGCTTGAACAATCAGATGCTAGAATGTTGTGTTGGGATCGTCAAGTGCTAGTGCTAAGTCAACTGAATGCTAATGTTGAATACTTGTAATGGAGTGGTCGAATGCTTGGGCTGGATCAATCAAATGTTAATGTTCAATGCTTGTGTTGTGGTGGTCGCATGCTTATGCTTGAATGACCGGATGTTGGTGTTGGATTGATTGAATGTTGATGAATAGAATGCTAATGCTGGAGTGGTCAAATGCTTGTGTTGTATCTATTGAATGCTGGTACCATTTCGATAAAATGCTGGTGCTGGATTGACTGAATGTTGATGGACTGAATGCTAATGTTGGAGTGGTCGAATGCTTGTGCTGTATCGACCGAATATTTGTGCCAATTCAATCAAATGCTGGTGCTGGATTGACTGAATGTTGATGGACTGAATGCTAATGCTGGAGTGGTCGAATGCTTGTGCTGTATCGACCAAATATTTGTGCCAGGTAGATGGGCTTATACAAAAGAAAAATGTAACTTGTGCCAGGTAGACACTGGGCTTATAGAAAAGAAAAATGTAACTTGTGCCAGGTAGATACTAGGCTTATACAAAAGAAAAATGTAACTTGTGGCAGCTAGATATTAGGCTTATTCAAAGAAAAATAAAACTTGTGTCAGGTAGATACAGGGCTTATACAAAAGAAAAATGTAACTTGTGCCAGGTAGATATTGGACTTATACAAAAGAAAAATGTAACTTGTGCCAAGTAGATATAGGGCTGATACAAAAGAAAAATGTAACTTGTACCAGGTAGATACTGGGCTTATAGAAAAGAAAAAATGCAACATGTGCCAGGTAGATACTGGGCTTATACAAAAGAGAAATGTAACTTGTGCCAGGTAGATACTGGGCTTATACGAAAGAAAAATGTAACTTGTGCTAGGTAGATACTAGGCTTATACAAAAGAAAAATGTAACTTGTGCCAGGTAGATACTGGGCTTATGCAAAAGAAGAATATAACTTATGTCAGGTAAGTACTGGACTTAAATAAAAAGTCATATGTGAAGTAAGTGCTTAGCCTAAAAACTCTACGTCATAAGTTCTAGGAAGTAAGAGATGCAAATGAAATGTGATGCATTGGTGATATGATGCAAAATGTTATGAGACACAACATTCAAGACTTAGACTTTTGTTTCTTTTCCTTTCCCTTTTTGCTTTTGCTTTTTGCTTTTTTGGTCATAAATTCCTCATCGTGACACACAGCCAAGGATCATGGATTAATGAGGCCTTTGGATACTCTTTGAGTTGAATGACTGTTGGCTATTCTCTTGGGTTACCCTTAAGCTGCTGTAAGCACTTATGAGTTGAAACAAACATTATTTTGTTGGTTGCGCTTTATCAAGAAATTATCAAGCATACTGTGGCTTTTAAAACTCATAAAAATAATTTGTAATGCCTTGAATTTTCCTTTTTAGATGTAACATGCGTTTCCTTTCAGTATATTATTATAAAATGCAAAAAGAATTGACAACAAAGAGGTAGGATAATCTTATTTAAGAGAGTAAGAATGTGTTTACAAAGGAATTCATTGTATGACAAGAATGGAAAATATGTACAATGGTAGCAATAAGAGGTAACTGTTATGTGAGTGACACTTTCTAGATAAACAATGTTAGTATTACACTTTAATAACCTTGAATGCTCGCCAATAAACTTGAGAGCATAATTCAATTTATTTGCCCCAGTTTGCTTTGCTCTGCCATGTCTGGCCCCAATTGATACCTTGAAATTTGGCATGATGCTTATCTGCTAGATTTCTTTTTCGAGTTTTCAACCTAGCATGTCGCTCTAACTTTTGCCTAGATCGCCCTTTCAAGTTTTCAATCTAGCAAGCCTCCTTCTTTTTTTTTGTTTTTAACCCTAATTTTTGCCTAGATTGCTCTTTCAAGTTTTCAATCTAGCGGGTCGCTCTAACTTTTGCCTAGATCGCCCTTTTAGGTTTTCAATCTAGCGAGCCTACTTCTTTTTTGTTGTTGACCCTAATTTTAGCCTAGATTGCTCTTTCAAGTTTTCAATCTAGCGGGTCGCTCTAACTTTTGCCTAGATCGCCCTTTTAGGTTTTCAATCTAGCGACCGTTTTTTTTTTGTATAATTGGCCATGACAAATTGCATTCAACCTTTTCTCCTCAATGAGATTTAATTGATCCAAACGAGTTTGGACCCGTTCTGCTTCTTCTAATTTGGCTTCCGGTAATACTCTCAAAGATGGAATTTCAACATCAATTGGAAGGACTACTTCCATTCCATAAGCTAAGGAAAATGGGGTTACCCTAGTTGATGTTCAAACTGAGGTATGATCCCCATGTAAAGTAAATGGAAGCATCTCATCGCAATCTTTGTATGTCACCATTATTTTCTGGATTATCCTCTTGATGTTCTTGTTTGCTGCTTCAACTGCCCTTTTCATCTTTGGGCGATATAGGGAAGAGTTATGATGCTGAATTTTGAAGTCAACACATAACTCTGTCAGCATCTTGTTGTTCAAGTTGGTTCCATTGTCAGTAATGATTCTGCTTGGCACACCATAACGACAAATTAATTTCTTTTTGATGAACTTTACTACCATAGCAACCAAAATGAAGCGGTGTCCATTTGACGCTTTTGGCTCAATAGGACTAATAACACCCATTCCCCACATTGAAAATGGCCTAGGTGATGACAAAACATTAAGGGAAGTTGGTGGAGCATTGATACTATCAGCTTATATCTAACATTTATAAAATTTCTTCACGTATTTAAATTAATTATTCTCCATTTCCTCACAAGTCTGATTAACGGGACAATCAAAATTATTTGGTGCAACACTAGCACTGTCACTTTCAAGCTCATTTTTTCGCATTCTTTAAAGTTAGGATAAAAAGATTAAGGAGAAAGGAAGAGGCAAGAGATGAAGGAAGAATGAATTCATTTTATTTAATATTTAAAAGGAAATAAATGAGCCTTTATTCAAAGAAATAAATCTTCAAGCCTTGGGTAGAGCAATAAGACTGACATTACAAGAAAATTACTTAAAATTTGAATTAAAAACCACAGGCAACTTAACATTCTCCCAATTAATAAGTTCCATATTCAGTGGACAAGCATGAACCAGACTAGCATGTTTGTCCTCACTGTAGACCCCTAAAATTGTCCGGGTCGGAAATAAAAAATGAAGGACAGGCTCTAAATCGCCCACCTCTCTTAAGAGGAACCAACTACGACTATTGGAAACAAAGAATGATCGCATTCTTTGACGCATGTCACATAGACATGTGGGAAGTTGTAGAACAGGGATATTACATTCCACACGATGATACTGGGAGGGAAATACCCAAGGGACGTTGGAGTGAAAATCAAAAACAAAGATTTGTGCTAAACTCCAAAGCTAGAAATGCACTCATGTGTGCTCTAACTAAGGAAGAATACACCAAAGTACACAGCTTCAAGAGTGCCAAACAAATGTGGGATACCCTATCCATAACTTATGAGGGATCCCTAGAGGTAAAACGTAACAAGCTAAGCTTGTTAGGTCGTAAGTATCAACTCTTCGAGATGGAAGAGAACGAATTTATCCAAACTATGTTTGGAAGATTTCAAACTATTATTAATGAACACCCTTTTTTAGGTAGGACATATGATAACTTTGATCATATTGACAAATTGCTTCATAATCTACCCAGGAAGTGGAGACCCCAAGTCACGGCACTGAGAGCATCCAAAGATCTTGAAAAGCTCTCACTGGAAGAACTAGTTGGACTACTCAAAGTCCATGAGATGGAGTGATGGAAATCTAATCCCCAAGGATCCCTTTGGAAGAGGTAAGACCAAGAAGGGTGAAGGTTGATCCAAGGAGGCTCACACTTGAAGACCATTGGGCCTTTAACTAGGTCTATGGTTATGAGGCTAGAGGAGGCTTCTAGAGAGGAGATGCTTCTTAGACCTATGCTCAATATGAGTATTGAGTATGATTCCTCTTTTTAGTCTCATAGTCTCTATTGTACATACATTGTATAGTTTGATTTCTTGTACCTTGTATATAGTAGATACTTGTATAGGTGTATTTTTGCCTTTGTATTTGAGAGGCACTTTATTTCCTTTTATTAGCTATTGTATATTGTTTCTAGGGTAGGTTACTTGGACACTTTGACTCCATTTAACCTAATCTAGAAATACA